TTATGATGAAAATTATAATAATAAGAACTCAGATAAACCATATATTGCCATAGTCGTGTCTTTATTAGTCACGTTGAATCAATGAAAGCAGTTAAATCTTCTGTTTATTCAGCAACCGCTATAGGGATTTCTTGGAAATTCCTTCCTGCCTTCTTCGGGGCATATTTGGAGTTTGAGAGTGAGAGCGCCCTCTGGCCTTCGGATGGAGATTTACTACTGATCACAGAACTGGGGCCCGTTCTTCATACGTTGCTTATTACATCCGAGATGAAATGTCACATCCAAGATGATATCATTGCGCTAATCAGGATCTGGCTAATTCGGTTCTTCGAACGCACCTGTTGTTGATGATTAGTATGGCTGGATTGAGTTATCTGAGATAATTGCGCGATCATGGGTTGGTTTAAAAGGGGCTATGTATCGATACTCGAAACCACGATCAGCAATGCAGCGATTGGCTGGCGGCAAGACAGCAACGTAATGATATTATATAATTAAAAAAAGACACCTGACGAAAAACTTGACAAAACCTATATATATATATATATATATATATATATGTATGTATGTAGGATACGTATATAATCTCCTTACATGTCACTTAGACCTATGATTTCATCGTAATTATTTCAGTTTTCTTTTAGGCCTATTAATTTACCGCAAACTATAGCGAATGTTTTAGTTTCTGATGTTAAAAACGCGTACTGTTTAGAGGTCACGGTAAGATGTTGACATCTTATAAGCACGCAATGCGGCTGTCAGGAGGAGCGCAACTATCCGCATTAGCGGTTCGCCACCGGTGACTCGGGAAACTCCGTCATTCCGGTACCGAAGGCTTCCGATCAGAAAACATGAAATGTTGTCACACAGACACGACAGACAAAGAGGAATTATTTCAGAGTAATCAGGAAGAATGAATGAATGGCTTGTGTCGACATGGCCTGTCTTTTAGCGCTGGTCATCGCAGCATTACCCGCTCTCACTCAGGTTTCCTCTGCAGAATGAGTAGTGTTTCTGTTCAGTGGTAAAGTGTTTCAGTTTCCGTGAAAGGTAAACCAGCCTCTTTTGTGTCCATGGCCGACAAAAAAAAAAGAAAAAAAAAAAGATTTTCGCAATGCCAGTGTGATGACTGACTCAAGCAGTGACTGACTGCGGCTTGTCACATTAGTTGAGTTTACCTAGAAGCAGCCGCACATTTCACACAGCAGGTTTGGCCACTTTTGTAAACTAAAAATAACTACTTATAACGGAGCATAAATAGGCCTACATCATTGTTTTAACCCATTTTTTCCTCCCTTGCTCTCTCTCTCTCCTTGTTCCTATATCTTTGCTTAAAGGTCTTAAGAATAATGAGTTTAGCTGCAGCCATAGAAGATATTAGGATATTACAAAACACATCTATATCTATGTGAAATTACCTCTTACCTCAGTAGATTTCCTCATTTTCTTCAATGAATCCAGTAAGCTCAACCTTGACGTTTCTGTTTCCTGTATCATTTTAGAGAAGGAGGTGTGTGTCTTCCTCTGCAAGCTGCTTGCTTCCGCCTCACATTTAACAGCTCACATACAGGAACATGGTGAAGGAGAGGAAGAAATAGAGAGAAGTTATTGATACTGCCTTAGTGGATCAAAATAAAATAACTTGGCATACATAAATAAAAACACAAACATATTCATCTTAAACATCTACAGTATATAGTCTATTATTTGTAACAATAGCCCAAATCTACAAAAATCTGAAGACAGTTTAGAAATGCTACTCACTCTCAATGATTTATCTGCTATTGCCTCTTTCAACAGCAAAAGAGATAATGCACATCCAACTAAATCCTACTGGAATGCTTGCCAGGAGCCACGACGCAGACTGAAAGATAAAACTTTAGCAAAATGCACAATGCAGGAGCTAAAAGAGGTGGGGAAAATACTGACATGGACAACAGAGATCAGTGACTGTGAAGTTAAAGTGGATCATGCCATGAGATTGCATTCCAGTGCTGTTGTGTTTTCTTTCAGTGGGGTGATGTAATTGGATTGTGAAACAAAATAATAGTCAGCTATGGTCTGTAATTTCAACTATGTGTCAATATTAGGTAATCTTGCCAAGGCAAGTATCTATTAAACAAAACAAAGTTCAACAATTATTTGGTTCTTTCCCTTTAGGCTAAAGCTCATGCCTGAATGTAACAAAACTTGATGGGTCATATTTCGTATAATTATAAATGTACAGCAGCAGCATTCACATCTGAAATACCTCTATTTTAAGGGGTGCAGCGATGGTCTGTCATTTGCAATCCCATGCACGAGCACCAATGCAAACACGTTTTATTTCAACCTCTTAAAAGTGTGTGTGTGTGGGGGGGGGGACTGAGCAGCAATTGTTTTTTTAAAAATATTTTAATGCACCATTAATAAAGGGTCCAACGCATTAATACAAGAGAAATATTGCAAATAATATTAAAACTTTAAATCAAATTAAAAGGAATAAAACAACAACAAAAACAAAACAAATAACTGAATGATAGGCATGTACAATTATTTTCTTGCAATGTGAAGTAGGAAAACAGAAGGAACAGACACGACCACCTGTTCTAGTGAACGCCAAAAAGACAACCTTATCTGTCCTGTCTTTCTTGTATTGCTAAAAACTATGAACGAAAGGGATATCACTTCAAGCAAGAGGTGAATTAAAATGATGGCAGGTACATGATGACCTCTGGAATAGTTTTTACAGTGCACTGGCACTGTAACAGCTAATTTGTGAAAAATAAAGTAGTAAATGTACAATGTCACAACTTACAATACTAGACCATTTTTGAATACCAGCACATCATGCTGGAAAAGGAGACATGTAATTAAGATCGGTTGAACTTTGAGGAAGTTTCGAAAGAAATGTGTGCGCCCAAATAGCTTCATTTGAAAAAAATGTGGTGCTACTACGCAGATAATCTGAAGAATGTACAGCAACAGATCTGACCTAAATAAACGACATGAGTGAACAGGCCTCGGAACAGGGACAATAAATAATTAACTAAAATTATTACTCTCTCACGACAGGGGTGAAGTCTTAAATCCATGTTTTTAGGTAGGACTTTAAAAGTTGCCCTTGGAAAAAAGACCCAGCACTTTAAGGGTGTTTGCCACTGTCAGACGTTGTGCATAAGTGAGCGGAATATGTGTGTGTGCAGTTGCTGAACAACTTCAAAGCATAGACCTTGGCAAAACAACACCACTAAACACAGCTGCAACAGGAGGAATGAAATTGATAAGGGCCATGTCAGGAGAAAAACACAACTTTCCAGGTGGAACTGGAGGTGTTGCGGCAGTGCTGAGATCCCCCTGGGCCAAACATCTCGACACATCTGTGTCTGTATAGAAGTTTTTCAAAGAGTCTGATGTTCTCCCATCATACACTACCTACATTGTTGTGCGCCGAGAAGAGTAGCTTGTGGGCTAGGAAAGTTGATTGGCAAGTCATGTATCGGGGGAAGGTCTAGGACACTTTTAGTTGAGGGTTCCTCTGCAGTTCTCCGTGCCACACAGACATGGGATTTTGTTCTCTTCAATGGGGAACTTGTAATCATACGTGATCTCCTCGTTCACACCGATAGGCTGCTTTGAGTATATGACTATCTTCTTCTGGGACTCGATGGTGATCACTTTGGCGTAGCAGTTGGGCTGCGAGAGAGGATGCATGAAATCATGAATAAGATGCAGAACAAGTACGTGTTTCTTGAATTACATTCCCTCCAATAGGAGTGTTGGAAAGTTAGATGTTGCATTTCTGTTCGTGTTCAGCATAGCTCTATGTGTGCTCATTTTCTGTTGCTGGAGGGGATCATCACCATGGTGCAAATACAAATTCCATTCGCAGCTGGAGGAAGAACACAACATGCCTTTTTGGCTTTTATAAACCATGTAAAGACCAGATGCAACATTATCCAAGTCTTATCAGCAATAAATTAGCAAGTCCTACAGCTGCAGGAAGCCCATCAGATAGAGGACAAAAATCTGCAGATTTGGAAGACCATCCGTAAACATTGACATTCATAACAGGATTTGACAATAATGAGTATCCGATGGCCCGGGGTCAGTGTGAAAGACGTTCGAGACAGTTAAGGGAACTGTCTGGCTCGAAGTCTAAGACCTACCTGAAAGCCTTAAAGCACTGATTATTTGTTAACACTTTATTTTAAGGTGTCCTTGTTACACATGTTACATGTACTTACTATTATAATGACAATTAATTATGCATAAGTATCCCTAAACCTAACCCTAATCCTAACCCTAACCATATAGTAAGCACATGTAGTTATTTAATATTACTCAGTACTTAAATGTATAATTACACTGTAACAAGGACACCTTAAAATAAAGCGTAACCATTCATTTGTATCTTTGTTCTATTGTATTTACTTGTTTTATTGCTTGAAACATGCTTTTTTGTTCTTATTTTATAAATGACTGTTTACTTGTCTTTAATAATGTTTCAATTTAATATTAAAGTTGGTATCATAACCTTATTTATTAGAATACGTTTTTCCAAGGCAAATGAAAACTTGAACTAGAAAAAAATCCTATCCTTGCACGACCTTGGTTAACATGACTATCCTCCTTCAGTTTAATGCAATACTGATGGTGGGTTTACATAAATGTGGCGGTTATTGACATTGGGAGTGGCAGTAATATGTTTATCAGATGTCATGTGGTATTTGAGATATATGGATACGTATGCGTCACTAGGAGGGTACTTACCGTGCAGCAGTGGTTAATAAACCGAGCCAAGTTGCCACACTTGGTGGCGTCAATGATAGTGTCATGATCGACACGGAACAGGTAGCTGCTCCCGATGCCTTCTTGGGCATATCGCTTCTCCCGATTATCAGCAACCATCTACAAATTACATTTAGTCATTTAGCAGATGCTTTTATCCAAAGCGACTTACAAATGAGGACAATGGAAGCAATCAAAATCAACAAAAGAGCAATGATATACAAGTGCTATAACAAGTCTCAGTTAGCTTAACGCGAACTGAGGTGTAACGTGCATTATTTTCGGCTCGTTAAAAATTAATCTTGCTGCCGCATTCTGGATTAATTATAAAGGTTTGATAGAACTGGCTGGAAGACCTGCCAAGAGAGCATTGCAATAGTCCAGCCTGGACAGAACAAGAGCTGGAACAAGGAGTTACTGCCAATGAATTAACAAGTATGTGTTCCTCAAGAGGAACCAAACTCACTTCCTAGTAGAGATCATTTAATAGCTGTTAGTCATACCTGTCTGATACTCTGTCCCACATATTCAATGACCATCTCATCTGCAGCAATGGGTTCCATGGCAAACAGGCCCCATTCGTGGATACGGCTGCGGCCAAACCTCAGCTTCTTCTTACGGAACTGCAGGCAGATGAATTACAAGCATGAAGACATGTAAACACATACAGGACCGACCATGTTTAAAAGCACAAGAATACTATGTGAACATTAACCCCAAATTTGGCCATATACAGAAAGAATAAACATGATTATTCTAATATGTTGGTTATTAAATTCTTAAGACAGATCCATGTATTTAAATTTGGATTACGCACACACCTTTCCATCATGTTTTACACTACTGTTCTAAAGTTTTGGGTCAGCAAGATTTTGGAATGTTTTTGAAAGAAGTCTCTTATGCTCACCAAGGCCAAGGCTGCATTTGTTTGATAAAATGCAAACATAGGTAAAAACAGCAGTTGTAATTTAAAATAATGGTTTTCTATTTTAATATATTTTAAAATATAATGTATTCCCATGACAAATTTTCAGCATCATTACTCCAGGCTTCATTGTCTCATGATCCTTCAGAAATCATTCTAATATGCCAATTTGCTGCTCAAAAAACATTTCTTATTATTATCAATGTTGAAAACAGTTGCCGCTTAATATTTTTGTGGGGAATCTTTTTTTGGGGATTCTTTGATGAATAGAAAGTTCAAAATAACAGCATTTTTTTTTTTATATAAATACTTGATAACATTATAAATGTCTTTACTGTCACTTGTGATCAATTAAATGCTTATTTGGTAGGGCTGGACAATAATTCAATATTAATAATTAATACTAATAATTAATATAATTAATAATACTTTTTTTCAATAACGGTGATATGATTTTTAAACACATTTCCGATATTTCGATATACATTACCAGTGTTTCCCATGCATTGATTTATTTGTGGCGTTTGACTTCGTTGAATAAACATGAGCACTGCAGTTTCAAAATCAAAACACGGGTGTCGCGGGTGTTTTAAATGAATGTATCTTTGAAGGGAACCGACTGTCTTCAGAAAAGTTTCAATGACATTTTCATTTTGATCTGATAAAGTAACGTTCATGAGCGGAGCTCGACCACTATCAAAGCGCCTCCTGCTGGCAGACAATCAGTTTGCATTTTCAATAAGCCCGTCTCCAGCAACATGTTTTTGTTGTTGCTCAATTTTTTTGTTTTCTGCAGCAACTCAGAGCACTTTTCATACTCTTTATCCTGGCTGAAGCACATTTGTTTCAATCTATAAGAATAATCAGCCTACACTACCAGTCAAAGGTTTTTGAACAGTAAGATTTTTATTGTATTTTTAAAGAAGTCTCTTCTGTTCACCAAGCCTTTATTTGATCCAAAGTACAGCAAAAACAGTAGAATTTTAAAATATTTTTACTATTTAAAATAACTGCTTTCTATTTGAATATATTTTAAAATGTAATTTATTGCTGAGATCAAAGCATAATTTTCAGCATCATTACTGCAGTCTTCAGTGTCACGTGATCCTTCAGAAATCATTCTAATATGCTGATTTGCTGATTATCAATATTTAAAACAGTTGAGTACATTTCTTTTCAGGATTCTTTGATGAATAGAAAGATACAAAGATCAGCATTTATCTGAAACAAAAAGCTTTTGCAACATTATACACTGTACCATTCAAAAGCTTGGAGTCAGTATTCTATTCATCAAAGAAACCTGAAACAATTCTACGCTGTTTTCAACATAATAATAAATGTTTTCTGAGCAGCAAATCAGAATATTAGAATGATTTCTGAAGGATCATGTGACTGGAGTAATGATGCTAAAAATTCAGCTTTGAAATCACAGGAATAAATTACATTTTAAAATATTTCCAAATAGAAAACAGTTATTTTAAATAGTAAAAATATTTCAAAATTTTACTGTTTTTGCTGTATTTTGGATCAAATAAATGCAGGCTTGGTGAGCAGAAGAGGATTCTTAAAAAAAAAAAAAAAACAGTAAAATTCTTACTTTTCAAAAACTTTTGACTGGTATGTTAGCCTATAGTTTGAAGTTAAAGATATTAATAATTAGTAAGGTGAGTACAAAGGCTAAATACAAATAAAAGGTGGACATTAATTTATTTGTGCTGTTTTGTTTCTAAAAAGGAAGAGGTTTCATAGACTTGCAAATTAATTTTTCATAAGTTTGTAGGTACAGACATCTGTTGTAGGTGTTCTTGGCAGTTTTTATGAGGCTTTTTTTTTAATAGTGTTCATATCGATATCAGAATTATATCGTATCGACCGAAATTAAGAAATATATAGTGATATAAATTTTGGCCATATCGTCCAGCCCTATTCCTTGGTGAATAAAATGTAAGAAAAAAATCTTACTGACTGATTTTACTGGAAAGACATGAGTGTGATAACAGACTAAACACTGATTAACACAAGAAATCCCCAGGCTAGAGCATTCCTATCCATCTAAACTTTGATCTATACACATTTTTCCAAAACAGACAGTTTAAACAATTCCTCCCAGTAACCGCTCCAAACACACAGATTATAACGGTCTTAGAAATCTGTCTTATAACGGTCTCTTAAAATCTGGCTTTAAAGTGAAAAACAACATAATAAACATATAATAATGTATAATAAACCAACCAGACATATGTCTGCCCTTTCCAAACATATGGAGTACATTCATTCATTCTTTACTCAAAGAACATGCAATTAAGGAGGTCCAAAGAAGAACTGCTTTTAACTTTGAACACATGAACTCAATCTCAAAGATGTTATCAAACCCTATCAATAGCCAGAACCTGATAAGGCTCAGCCAGCCAGGGTCATTGACACAGGAGTCCGTACACTTTACAGAGCAGTTTGGGGGGGGGGGTATGAATTACACTACAAAGAGACCTGCTGGTCATTGTGCCCACAGATGCCACTTACATCAAACACTGAATGGAATGCTATGAATTACTACACTGAAAACAAGCTGAAGGGATTTCATGGAATTGAAGGAGTGGTGAGGTCAATGTAATAAAAGTGCTGATAGTATGATCAAGGTCACGGTTGTGTCAATGAACTGAAGAACTTTACCTTCAGCTGGTTCAGTTTCAACAGGTCTGAGTCCATCACTGCTGGAGTGCCGATAGCGCTGAGGAGACGCCGCTGCTCAGAGCGCCTTTCAGAGAGCAGACGATTCGAGCCCTATGACAGACACCGACAGAGAGAGATGCTCAGGTGGATACAAACTACTGACCCAAACTGTCTGCCATGTTCATGCTAAACAAAGTAATTAATATCAGTAACACCACTACAGTATGTGCATTTAAATCTGACATCTTCACAAAAAAACAAAAACAAACAAGACTCAAACACACATTTGAGTTATTAAAACTTAAACTGAACCTACTGAGGTGTCATATTCCCCAGCTTCCTGCACAGTCACTGGCTGGTCTAGCTCAAGGTAGACGTCTTTCTCCTTGCGGCTGATGGCATAGTAGCCTTCACTACGAGCACAGCCCGTGACATGCTCTCTTAGCTGCCCATCTGCGGTCTTCTTCTTCCGTCGAGGGTTGGGGATGTTGGTGAGTGCAGGCAAGAGGTCAAGGGAGCAAAACTTGGGAAAAATTTACTTAGAAAGCAGCATCAATACGTAAATGAAGCCTTTTACTCTCTTACTTGTATGAACTTATATTTGCCGACTCTTTAAATTTGGTATTGTGGTATTGATAATTCTGTTGGCTTCTGCATCACTAATAAAAGCACATGTTTGTTTGTATTAGACTTGTGCCGTATTCGGTAATGCGATATATCACGGTAATGAATATGCACGATATTGTTATCTTGGGCTAAACTGCATTTTCATTCTTAGGCAGCTGTAAGGATATTGGTATGAGGGACCCAGTGTGTGTCGTTGAGCCAGTCGGTGCCGCGATCAACTTGCAACAGTTTCTCGTAGGTGCTCTTCAGGAGCCTCATATCTTCCTGGTCCAGGCCAGTGTTCCAGATGTCATACAGGATGGTCATCTGCTCAAACTCACTACGGTTCTTGTAAGAGGGCTGTGGTAAGGGAGCTAGGGTGGGCACGTGTTTGGGCCGTCGCTGAGTCGAAGGGGTCAAGCCAGCTTCCTGCAGGAAAAGTCGTTCGCTCTTTCGAACCTCTTCCTTTTCAAACTCCAGCGATCTCTTCAGACCAAAGTAAGAGTCTCCCGAGTCAGAGCTGGAGCTGGAAAGCTCACCAGACTCCAACTGTTCCACATCCACGTCTTCTTCATATTCCTGACAATAAAGTATGGTAGGAAAATGTTAGGAAACAGACAAAATGCACACAAAAAGCAGACCAAATGGTGGGATAATCTGGCACTATTTGCCAAACAACCCTATTACCCAACAATGCAGAACTGTTGAAAGCAGTTCAAGCTCTGTGAGTTTGTAGGACAAACGGTTATATCGCAACAGCCTGAAACATCCCAGCACATTAAAATTGTTGCAACAGTGCTACATTAACAATGCAAAGTGCCACTGAACTGGTATTTCGATCATTGAGAGAAAAAAAAAAAATATATATATATAAACAAATCATCTAAGATGCTGCAATACAAGGACCAATGCTAGGGAAACAGTAGCTTTCCAAGCTTCAAGTGATTTAAACTGAAAGTTAGCCAAGCAACCATTTAAAAAAATTTTTTTAAAAGTTACATTAAAAGCTACTAACAAAACACAATTACATTTAAGGGGCATTACACTACTGTTCAAATGTTTGGGATGAGTACGTTTAAAAAAAAAAAAAAGAAATTAATACTACTAATACTACAAGGATGAACTAAATTGTTTGACAGTCAAGACATTTATAATGTTAAGTGTTTTTGAACTATTGATTTTTTCTATTAAATCAAAGAATCCTGAAAAGAATTGTATCACAGTTTTTCACATAAATATTAAACCGCAGTGTTTTCAACACTGATAATAACATGAAGTGTTTCTTTAACACTAAATCAGTATTTTAGCATGATTTTTGAAGGATCGTGTGACACTGGCTGTTTACATGGACACTTTTTTGTTTCAGTCAGAATGAAATCATTCTAATTGAGAAATCCGAATGCAGCGTTTACACAAACACTAAATAAAGTGATCGAGTTATGTGCGTGGTTATTGGTCAAAAGCTTCAATATCCGATTTGATCTTTTGACATGTACACACTTCACGAATATACAGAGTTTTTCACTGTTTGCACATAATATTCTGCAACCATTGCTTCTTTTTTTGTTTAAAAGAGCAGATTTAACATTTCTCTTTTTTAGGACATAATTAGGAGACGACGAGCACATGAAGCTTTGTGCCGTGCTGCTTACATCAAGCAGTAAAATCGCCCACTGTGGTCAAAACAAGCCATCTGTGCATGAGAGAATGAAGTGAGGACTGATGGAAAGTTGTTCTGCTCCACTTCACAGACGATGAGTGGAAGGAGAATTTTAGAATAACATGACAGTTATTTATGACACTTCATTCAACAAAAACAACAGCTCGTTCCATGTGTCATTCATCATTACGTCAATTCTACGTCATTACACATGCGCAGTACTTTCCAGTTTTGGTTTCCTCTCGAAGGAATTAGAAAACTTCTACACCACCCATCCCAATCCGATCGAAATTCCATTCAGTTTGAACTCAATCGGATCGACTAAGGTGTTTACATGAAGGCATTTCAGCCCGATTGAGCCATCAATTTGATTACTAACAGATTATTTGGTTGCACGTAGCCACTGAAGACTGTAAGGGCTGCTAAAAATCCCGCTTTGCAATCACAAAAATAAAATATATTAAAGTAGAAAGCAGTTATTTTAAATTGTAAGATTTCACAATATTAGTCATTTTGATCACATAGAGACTTGGTGAGCATAAGAGACTTTTTTTTTAAACAAAACCTTACTGACCCTAAACTTTTGAACAGTAGTGTGTATATTACATCAGTGTTTCGCAACTACAGCCCTTGGGGCCCACCTCCCAAATAAGCTTTAGATGCCTCCCTATTCAACAAACTAAGAAGCTGAGGAATCAGGGGTTTTAATTAGTGAGTCATCTTAAACATTCTGGTAGGTCGGTTCCCCTCATCTTATATCCTATAACAAATTATAATATATATATTAGTGCTGGGCGGTATGACCAAAAATTTATATCACGGTATTTTTCAAAATTATACTGGTTTCACGGTACGTGACGGTATTTTTTTCTCATGCTTGACCGGGTGTTAACCATATTTTCTACTGATTGAGAGAGGAAATACTGCAGTATATTGACTTAGAATGCCCTATTTTACTGTCATGATGAGTGAACATTGTCAAAAAATACCACACTAAATAGTGACTAAACACGAACCCTTTTAATACATGTTAAAATAATACAGACCTCGCGTTCGCGGGACAGCACTGGCGAAATCTTCCAACTGAACCATAGCTAAGGTTTATCCAAAAAAGT